AATCATCTGTTTGGTTATTTTTCATCGTGTTTATTTTTCACTATTCACACAGTACTTGTATTAAATAAACAAAGAACAATCGCTCTGCAAATAAAAGTACTTAGGTGGGGAGAGAAAGAAGAGGACCTGAGGTTCTAGCACCCCCTCTCTCCCCCCCACCACACACCCTCTGACATTACCCCCTCCCCACCCCCACTCGACTTTCTCCTCTTGCTTCTTCCAGCTCTCAAACTAGGAGGTTCTAAGAAGGAATCCACAAAAAGCAAACACACCCATGCACACACACACACACGTGTGTGAGTGTTTTAAAAATATGTCCTGTGTGTACGTGTTGCTGATGAGTTGGAAACGGACGGCGCTAACTTGGCCTGGGAGCAAAGGTCCCTGTAACTGTATCTTCGCAGAGCGCCTGGAACCTGGGCGCAGCCGGCTGCCAGCAGCCCCATCGCCATAGCAATGCGGATGCTCGGCGTGGATGTACCAGAAAAGCAGTAGTTTGAATTTCAAAGAACCTGCTTTTGAACTTCTCCCCCGCCTGACTGGGCACTTGCGTTGGACGTGAATGTGTGCTCTGGAGTGTTTGTGTGTGTCCGTGGGTGTGTGTGGGGGGGGTTCAGAGAGGTTTTGTTCACAGAGAGGAAGTGCGCAGGTAACCCCAGGGGCTTTCTTTCCGCTGTGGTTCCCCTACCCCCACCACCTTTGTGGTAAGGTGTGTTGTTTTGGTACCTTAAGGGTTGGATGGGTGAGGGGAGGGACAGGGCACCGAATGGAAATAGTAATAAGCGTCTGTATTGTTTGGTTTGCCTTGTGATCAGACTTCCTCTAAGGTGATCCCTTGGGAAACCAGATTGTCTTTCCTGCTCCCTTCCCAGAGGTTTTATTTCCTAACCAAACTGAGATTTAAAACAAAACAAAAACCAAAAAAAAACCTGGTGGCTAGCATCTCTCCTCCTGCTTCATAGCCTAAAGATGATAAATAAAACCACACCTCAAAGCTTCCGGTGTGAAAGACATCAATTTTAAGAACCTAATACAAATATGTTTGTAGGTAGTTGGGCTGTACTGCCAAGGCCTATTGCTAACCCCCCCCTTTTTCCCCTTCAAGTCCAAAACGCTGTTGACACTTGTGTGGCCATCTCCAACTCAAAAATGATTCTCACCCTCAAGCTCCTTCTCGGAACCTTTGCTCTTAGGCGCATTAGCTTTACCAAGAACAACTGAATGGGGAAAATATATAACTTCCAAATAATCGTGTGTTTGAAGATTCTCCCTGCCCAGAAAACAAAGGTAGAGGGTTTAAAATGTTTGCTAGGGCCACGTTTTGCTAGGGAAGATGAAGTCTTTGATGATAGCCAACTTAGTGTCAATAAGTGGCTTTCTTTGAGACATATTCAGATGGGAACGTCTTGCTTGCCAATTGCCATAGAAATCTTAACACACCATGAAGATTGTCCAAGCGCCAAGCCTTCCGTTCTGGACTAAATTACTTTGAAGTGGCGCAGGACGAGCAGTGGTCAATTTTAACTCTATAGACTGGACAGAGAAGGCTGGGAGTGGGAGATTGTGCGTTTTAAAGCAGAAAATAAGAAGGGGAAACTTGTTTTATACACTCTATACAAGGTTCTGCTCATTGTCAGATATCTTTTATCTTTTATATTTCCCATGAATGATTCATGTCTTGGTGGCTTTGTGTCACCCTCCTTTTCACAAGAAACTTCATTAGAGAGCTATAAGTTTTCCCATTGATTGGAGCCCTCATTTACGAGTGTTTTCCCCCCCTTCGTGTGCTGGTTATTGTCATCTGGCTTAAAACAACTCTTGGCAACCTGTTTCACCTCTACTACATTTAATAAACCTGACTTCTAAAAGCCACTATAACCTTTTGGAGAAATGCGTATTGACATTGTTTTTAACTACTCGCCTTTTATCAGTTTTGCACTAGGTAACAAAAACAAGCAAACGCTCAGCCTGGTTAATGTGTCTAGCCAAATTCAGAGATTTAAGCCACTTGAATATTTTGTTGCCACAAATCTAATTCTCCTAAACGTCTGCCCCTACATGCTCAGTCTAAGTTCCTTCTAGTCACTCATTTCCAAAATAAAATTTCTTTTTGATCTTCCCGCATGCCCTGTAAGATCATTTGATCCCCACTACCCAATTTCTCTATCCATTATCAACTCCTTACCAAGATTGCTTTTACCTTTGTCTGGAAGCTTCTCACTATCTCTCCATCTTTTCTTAATTATTTTTTACTTTAGAGGTTAGGCACCAAAGATATGCTAACATTCTTTTTAGGTTTTTTTACTGATTACAATCACTAAGCATATTATTGACTTCAACAAATGAATGCAATAACCCCTGAGATTTGTTCTTCTATAAATGCAACTTGAAGGGATTAGTCTTCATAAATACCTGGTACTTTTCTAGATTACAATGTAAGTTAAGCCAAGCTATAAAAATATTTTATTGCATGAGAAAAGTCTAAGCGGTCAAGGGAGAACAAGCTAATGTTCACTACCTTAGCAACTGCTGTTGTAAAAGAATGACAGATATGCCACTAGGTAAAATGTACCAATACGTAGGAAGAATACCTTTATTACATTTGTTACTTCATAATCATTCTTGCCTCCTTTCTACTGGAGGTACACTTTATGTGTATCAGGAACCAATAAATCTGTGGGAGAATTAACCTATGCATGGCAAAAATACATAAAATACATAATCCTTTGTTTCATAATAAATAAACCTGTAGCATAATAAAGAATAGTGCAAACTACCATTGAAAAAGTTGTATAAATAAAACAACTCATTATACATCAGGAATTACTTTGTCCTACTAAGTTTAACAATACATAAATTATCCACCCAATATTCATACCTTATCTTTTTTGAGGTGAAAGGACTTTGCAAGTGAATAATATAAAAATCAAATAAACTTTTAAAATGTAGAATCATTTGATATTCAAGTTTTACGTATTTTTCTTCATGAAGGAGGGTCTGCATGTTTCATATTTACTGCAACAATCTGAAGACAACATAGAAAGGCTCTGCAAGTGACAGCACCATGCACTGTACTAGTAATATTTCTATCAAAACTCTACTTAATCTCATGAACACATGAAAAAGACATGCAGGAAGAGTCTTAATTCTTCACATTACATTGTTCATTCAAGTAAGCTTAAAAATATATGTTTTTCCCATTTTCTTCCTATTTTTTTAAATAAACCATGGGCCATAAATGACAATCTTTCACCAAAATTTATAATATAACTCTTTGGTGTGCTTTGAACTCTTCCAGGAAAAAAAAATGAAGTCTAAAAATAAATTAATTCTGCTGTACAAATAAAAGTGTTCACATACAAGTTATTAACAATGACAAGACTACATCAACCACTCATAGCACACAAAACAAATTTCTACAAACCCTGGGGAGGGGGTGTCTTCAGGGTCTCTGAGGATAAATTAGTGCTCTTTAGTATATTTGTATGATGTCTCTGATGGACTACATTTTGCACAGGAGATGTGTTGTACCAACCGAAAATAAATTGACTAAGAGTTATTGTCCTAGGTCCTTGACCTTTTTTATCCTAGCTTGACAGCTCTGGCAAAGGTCACACATTCATCAGTGTTTGGTGGTAACTATAAACCTTTTAAAAATTTAAATATGTATAGCAATTCCCTCCCCTCTTTTAATGTAAATCATATACTCCACACTGTCATTGTAAAATAGAGGAGAATTCAGTGCTCAGTGCACAGGTGGAAGAAAATGCACTAAAATGGAGTTCCAGGCATCAAAAAAATAAAGATTTTTTTAAAGGTTGATACAGTAGTACAAAAGAGGGGTTTTGCCTGTTTAAAAAAAAATAGCTTGTCCAAATAGGCATGATGCCATCTTCACATCTCCTTAGAACTTGACTGTGAATGCTGGCATCCCAAAAACCTTATGACCGAAAACAATCTCTATTACCCAAGAAGTTTGACACTGGTAGAAATAATTTTTAGTTTTAAATTAAAAAAATAAAACCCAAATAGAAAAAAAACACAATTTCATAAAAACACCAGAGGGAAAAGCAAGCACTTGAATTTCTTATACATTATAAAAGGTCACAGTTTCACAGTTGTCTATGCAGCAGCTGTTTTACTCTCCATTTCTGCTCAAACAATCACAGTAGCACAGTATATGGAGATATGTTAAGGTTGCTGCCCTGTTGTTTGTTTTTTAAGTCATACGAGGGTATTGAAGAAATAATCCTGTATAAAAATACCATGTTAATGTGAGATCAGTAATAAAAACATGGAAATTAAACAGTGTAAATATTAGAACTGAAAGAGATTTTTACAAATAATTTTGGACACAGGCACAGTCCAGGATCTGTTGGCAATGCAGCAAGTGTGTTTTACAATCAAGAGGCCTTTGAACAAATGAGGGCCCAACAACAAGGCTTAAAAGCAGCCCATGTTATGATGTCAAAGGCATCCAAGAGGCATTCTGGGAAAGGCAGAGGGGCTGGATAAGTTCTGACTTAATTTTTTTCCTCCCATATATATGTATAGCATTGGTAAGTGTGTGTATCTTCATCAATCTCTCCATTTGTTTTCCTTGGTACAATTTGCCCCTCAGACCCTATCCCTCTGTTGTGTACAAGTCCAGCTTGGTTGCTCTTTATTTCTTATTACTATTTTTCTTTCTTTCTTTCTTTTTTTTTTTGGAGGAACTGAAGATGGAACCCAGGGCCTCACACATGATAAGAAAGCACTCTACCACTGAGCTACATCCCCAGCCCTGTTTGTTTTTTAAGGACAGGGGGGAAAAGCCCAAATATCTTAATTAAATTAATTAAATGTACAAACACCATAGGGTTTCATACTGAATAAATAGGGCTAATTAGACCCGGTGGCAAGCCTGAGTCATGAGTTTGTCTCAGGCTCAGCTTTGTCCCAGGTTAGGATATGGTCCAAGGACTTGTATTTATTATTTCACGTATTAATACAAAGAAATTCTAATGTATCGTCCGCACAGCTTCAGGGTTCCCATACATTTCCTCATCTTCAGACTCGGAGGTGGTTCCATTGCTGGAAGGTGTGTGGAGGTGACTGGGGGCCCCTGTGGCCTGGCAAACGTACCACTCGTTGAGGTTGGTCACTTGAGGAGACAGAGTGCTAGAGCGACTCCTGGCTGGATCTAGCACAGGTGACAAGGGAGCACCCACCGGAGTCCCCACGGCTGAGTAGGCGAGAGTTCCTGGAGAAGGTGGGGGGGACTTGCAGTGAATCTTCATGTGCTTCCTCAGGGAGCTTGGGTGAGTGTAGGACTTGTCACAGCCTCGGATCTTACAGTAATAGGGCTTATCACTGGTATGCACATGGGAGTGTTTCTTTCGATCACTGCTATTGGCAAACTTCCTGTCACAGCCATCGAATTCACATTTGAAAGGCTTTTCCCCTGCAACAAAACACAGGAAAGGTTAACAATGGCTTTCCAGAGACTTTTCTCTTGAGAGAAATCTTGGAGACAAGGGAGGATGTATTTTCCCATTTTCCTGAATAACAACTCCCAGCCTTAGCCTCAGTCCTATTCCTATGTTTCAGGACACAGGATGTAAAGGGGAAAAGATGCTGGAAGGAGAGAGCTATGTCCACTGGTTTGGTGGCTTTCTTGGTCCTGAGTTATAATGGAGGGACCAGATGCTAGCCTCTGGAGAGACACAGGGATCAGAATGAAATTCCCTAAGTAGAATAAGGTAGAATAAGGTGCAAGATACGTGCCACCAAAGCCCACCTAGGACCCTGATTCTCCCCCCACCCCACTCCCTATAGGGTCTGAACACCCAAAAATACAAGTAGAAGATCCTCCTGTCAACACAAACACTAATGAAATGATACTGTCAAAGCCATGTGTAGGGGTAAGAATCTAAGGAAAAAAAAGAAAAATACTCATACTGAATTAACAGTGATCTTGGATACAGTAAAATGAAAATGATGGCATTCCTAGGATTTCACTGATGGAAAGAAACAGCAGGGAAAGGGTATAGAATTCGAAAAGGAAGGAAAGAAACCAAACACTACTGTCTTTCAAAATAAAGGCACCTGTGAAACACACAATCCCCCTACAAGATTTTACAAGGCTGGCAGGGTGGAGAATAGGCTGCTGGCCTCTGCATTCCATCAGCTTCCTCCGCAACTCACAGGACCATGAAGAACATGGCAGAACAGAATCTGAACAGACATTAGTCAAGATCACAACCTCAGCAGAACCTGCCATTGATTTGTGCTCTGAGAAAACTTATTTGGATAGCTTTCTCCATTGCTTAATAGTAATAATTATAAAACATACAAATAAGAATAAGATAACTAAAATAATAAAAAAAATACATCTTTGGCCTATCACTTCTTTAAGCTGGCCTGACCAATCCAGGTACACAATGCCTTAAACACAAGGTCACTTGTCCAGGAAGTTTAAATGCTTAGAAAGACAACTAAAAAAATCTAGCCATACTACATCTTGGTGTTAAGAAAACAAGAAGGGAAAACATCAGATAAAAGTATAACTAAGTTTCCTCTCTCATCTTGGTATCTATGAATTTGATGTGTTTAACTCCATAATTGAATACATGCTATTGTATAATATTTCCCTTTTACACTTAGATCTTAAAAATCAATGGCTGTTCTGGTGACATGCTAAGTAAGGTATTTTGCTTTGTGTAGATTACTTATTTTTTTAAGACTATTAAGAGATGGTAATGTATATAAATTTCTGTGAATTTTCTCATTCCCTACAGATTCTATTGGAGTCTTTTAAAAAAAATTCACTGGCAACTGTTTAAATGTCATTGTTAGCACATCTGAAAACATTGATACTTGTCATGCAACTTTCCCTATCTGTAAATATTTTAACCTAAATTGATATATTACCCTATAATTAGTAGGAAAATTCAGTAATAATCACAACTTTTGAAAATTTTTAGATGAGCTGAAACAAGCATAATCCTCATAAAAATATCAGTGATTTGTTTTCATTTCTGCATTACCCTTTTAAGTTGAGATAACACTAATTTAACATAGCATTAAAAAAATCTAACTAGTTTTCTTCAATGAAGCTTAAACGCTGTTATTCACTCTGCAAATGTGCAATGTTGTTTTCAATTCCAAACTACATATCCCAATTGGGGAGAAAAAAAAAAAACCAAAACCAAAAAAAAAAAAAAACACTGAACATTATTGTTTGCTCCACTGCAAAAGAGAAAGAGTAGCAAATAGGACTCTGCAAAGCAAGACAGGAAAAGGTGGAAACTAGGGACTGGGGAAAGGAGAAAAGGAAGTATGCTAGAATGACCCACGTGTTGTTTCTGAGGCCTGTGGTGGTGGGCACCTAGCACTTCCCATCTAGCACCAGTTGTTTACATCTCAGACACTGACAGGAGTATTTAGAGTTTTGAACACTCAGTGCCATGTGGATACCGCCCACTTCCTTCCAGACTCTGGCCCAGGGGCTGGTTATAAACGCAAGGGAGGGCACGTGGGTCAGGCAACGGGCCTTGGTGAGTGGCCCGGGGATTAGTCCTTTGATCAGTCTGTTCTGAGATCCAGCTAACTCCCAAAAAGGGAGGGAGGGAAGTCGAAGATGGATCCTTTCTGGACTTCATACCTAATGCACAAGCAGCCCAGAGACGGCCCCAAATGTCAGGTGCCAGGTGTGAGCTTGACCCAGAGGTACCCGCACCCTTCCGAGGGGAACCCCACATGCCTTCCCCAGGCCGCCTGGCCACTACAAGGGTTGGGAGCGGGAAAGGCAGCCAATAGTGCGACGTGGAACGAGAAGACGAAGCCGCCGCAGCTCCCCCTCTACCACGCCGACCCTCCGGGTCACAGGGCTCGGGCGGCCTGTCTCTCGGGGCGAGAAGGCCTGGACAGCAGGCTGGGGAAGGTCCGCTTTCCTCCCCCGGCCGCAGGCCGCATGCGGGGCACTAGCCGCCCGCTCCCGTGGCTTTCCTCAGTCCGTCGCGAGGCGCTGGGTACCGAGGAAGCAGCCGGCCCACTCGGCCTGGGCGCTTTTAGGAGGACCTCGTGGGTTTTCCTTTTGGAAAAGCCATCAAGGCAGATTGACCCAATTAGAAAATGGTGGATCCCACGGAAACGCCAGGCTTCCGCCGGTGCCGTACGTTTGCTCTGGCCCGGGAGGTGTCGGTCCATTAGGAGCAAGGCCGCGAGAGCCCGCGGTCACCCCGGTGCGGCGGTCCCCGCCAAGCCCCTACCACCCCCGGGTGGCCGCAGGCAGGGCGCGGAGGCCCCTCGTCCCCGGCTGCCGGCTCGCCGCGACCGCGCCGATAAATCAGTCAAGTGATTACTAAATGTAAACTCCAGTTCCTTAAGCATCCTCCGAGGAGTCATATTGTAGAACCTATAAATCCCGCCCGCGCCAGCGCTCGGCAGCGCTGCAGTCCGGCGCGATCGCGGTCCTAGGCCGCATGAGACGCACCACGCCACCGCTCCGCCCCAGCCTCGGGCACGGTACCCCCCCCAAGCAAGGCATTGAACATAGTGGGAAGGTCTCCCCCAATTTACAAGGCGGGTAGGCCTCCGCGATCGTGGGAGGAACCGCTGTCCTCAGCAGGACAGAGGCCAACTTCCCCAGCACACTCGGGCCATCCGGACGTAGCCACGGCACGTGCCGGTGTGCAAATAAAGTGGGAGGGTGCAAGGTGAGCGAGGACGTGGTGTCACAGGAATGTATGCACTAGGGCATGATGGGGGGGGGATACGTGCACCTAGAGGTGTAGAAGAGGGGTGGGTAAAGGTAGGCCGTCTCCGGAGGCCCAAGTATGCTGGGTCTCGCCTCTGGCCTTCTGCACCCCGCCTGGGGGACACACGGACACCACGCCCCGGAGGGGCCACATCCAGTGGTCCCGATGCCGCAGCAAACCCCACGTGCCCCTCCCACAGCCGCGGTCCTCCATGCAGCACCAGGCGAGGGCCTGCGGCCCGTGGGTAGGCAGGCGGCGCCAGGGCGACCCCAGCCCGGGGTGGGGTGGGGGACCCTTCCCCATGGCCCTCCCCGATCTCCCAGGGCCGGGCGGATGGGGGGGCTGCCGACCGTCCTGGGCGCCTTCCTGCTCCTGCTTCTGCTGCTTCTGCTCCCGGGTGGCGGCGGCGGCGGCGGCTGGAGCGCGTGGCCGGTCCCGGCGGAGGGGCTGCGGGCGCGCTGGAGACTCCGCCGTGTGGGAAGCCAGCACCGGCAGGCCCCTGTGTATGCTATCGAATTACTTATTCATAGAAAAAAAAAAAAAGGAGGGGGGAGAGAAAAAAAAAGAAGTCACATGTCCGGGTTATACGTATGCGAAGAGAAGCAGCAGAAGGAGGGAAAAATTGAGGCGAGCAGGAGAAGCAGCGGCGGAAGCGGTGGCGGCGCAGGAGGCGGTGGCGGCGGCGCGGCCGGGGACAGACACCCACCTGTATGAGTGCGCTTGTGGATCTTGAGGTTCTCGGAGCGCGCGAAGACCTTGCCACAGCCCGGGAAGGGGCAGGGAAAGGGCTTCTCGCCCGTGTGCACGCGGATGTGGTTGATGAGCTTGTATTTGGCCTTGAAGGGCTTGCCCTCGCGCGGACAGTCCTCCCAGAAGCAGACGTGGCTGCTCTGCTCCGGGCCGCCCACGTGCTCCACCGTGACGTGGTTCACCAGCTCGTGCATGGTGCCGAAAGTTTTGGAGCAGGGCTTGGCGCCGCCGGCCGGGGGCGGTGGCGGCGGGGGTGGCCCGGCCAGCTCGTCCGGGTCGATCCACTTGCAGATGAGCTCCTGCTTGATTGGCTGCC